ATGTAATTGGCACAGACGAATCAAGAATTAACATTTGCTCGTATATTTGGGGTATGACAATTATGAAGAACCCACCATCATTGTGGATCACAATCAATCCAATGGACACTCATGACCCTATCGTGCAAGTGCTCGCTGGAGAGGACATTAACCTCAATGAATTTGACTCTACTGCAGGTCCTGATGCCTCGCATCGTGCACTTATCGTGGCAAGTGATCCTTACGCTGCAGCAAACTTCTTCCATTTCATCATCTGTGCTATTCTCGAAGAGTTGATGGGAATCACAGTCCGGAAACCCAAGCGAGGACATATTGTACGTTGCGAAGGCATTTTTGGGACTGTGGAAGGATATATCGGAACTGTTGAAGCCCAAGGATGAGGCACTCTACATCTACATATGCTTGTGTGGCTGCATGGCGCTCCTTCCGCTGCAAACATGAAAGAAAAGCTGGAATCATCTGATTTTTGCGCCCATGTTGCTGCTTATATCGAGAGCAATATCCATGTTCATCACGATGAACTGACGGAAGAGTCATTAATGAACTCTCCATGTGAAAGAGCTGTTTCTTATTCCCGACCTTTGGATCCTCGTTCTTGAGATTTCAAAATGCATCATCCAATTGTCGAAAAGCGCTTGGTTCATGCGGTTCAACTGCACAAGTGCGGAACTGGCTGCCTGAAAGCATATAAAGGCCGTCTATTGTGCAAACAATGTGCTCCTTTTCCACTATCACCCGAAGCATGGATCAATACAGATAGATCTTGGGGACCACGCAGAACCTATCCTTTTCTCAACAACTGGAATCCATGGATTTTGTTAGCAACCCGGTCCAATCACGATGTCAAACTTCTGACGAATGGAGAAGGAACAAAGCACATATCATGGTATATCTCATCTTATGCTACGAAACGCCAATGACACTCCTCCAATGCATCTGCTTTACTTGCAAAATCTCTCGCTTACCATTGACATGACGAATCACATAACGCCGACTTACATGTGCTCAATAAAAGACTTATTCAGCGTTGTGCCAACACACTTAGTCGCGAACAAGAATTTAGTGCACCTGAAGTCGTATTGTATTTTGCTGGTTGGGATGACTGATATATTTCACATCACTTCCACACCATTCATTGGTATTCCGTCACGAAGTTGCTCAAAGTCTCTTTTCCTTTCCTTCAAAATGTTCGGTAAGTCATGAGTAATCCATGCACATTAGTAGCATTCTGATCGCTAGTCTTGATCTCTTACAGTTCACACAATGCAGTATCCAATAATGCACTCGATACTGGCGAGGTCCTACTATACCTAATTCTTTTCTATGACACTCACATGTAGTTTAGACAGATTATGTATCTCTCGAGCTCCATGAAGGCTCTCTCCAAGTATGAGATCAAGTACGTGAATACATCGATCGAGGAGATGAACTGGAAAACTATGGCTATCTCGAGTTCTTTCTTAACACTTATGAGATTCACGGGGAATATGAACCTTCTACTGTGCACAAGATAATCAGTTCCAGTGTGTGCATACCATATAGAGAAGGTTCTGCTCACTGTGGTCATGTTCATATCTTGCGAGCGGATGGACATGAGATGATGCCACATATCCCTGGAGAATGGTTTCCTCAAGCTAATGATCCTGATCACTATCCACTATACTGTGCGTCTATGCTCACACTCTTGAAACCATGGCGCAGTATCCTTGACCTCAAAAAGGAAGATGAAACATTTTTGAATGTCTACGAACTATTTCTCGAATCAGCTTCAGAAGATGTATTGCGTATCATTACTAACATCCAGTATTTTCATGAATGTTCAGATAAAGCCAAATCAGAAACAGGAAAAAAGCAGTATTTTGAACAGCAGCACGTTTGCTTACCTAGAAACAGGAGAGAAATTGGACGAGGATGTCAAAGAGAATGAATCCAGTCTTGAAGAAGATCAACGACATTCGAAAGAAGAATTCATTTCAGACGACGACATCTTAGGAGCAATGGAGGAAGCCTCGAACACACAAGAGATGGTGTATGCAGATGTCACGATGAACATAGCCGAAGAATTCAACTTCTTCTGCGAAGAATCTTGTTCTACTGCTGTCAACAAACCTGCCCAGATCGCTTCCAAAGAAAACTTGGAGGACAGCATCACTTGGGAGCATTGTATAGCAAAATCGGACGAACCTTGTCAAACTTCACCATCAGCATTCCCTACAGAAGAAAGCTGTGTGAGCTCTGTAACAATAGGCAAACCCTCCATCACTCAAATCGAATCATCCGTGTCAAGACTAACTACGAAGCAATCATGCATACTTCCTGCCACTATTGAACCACTGGCATATCTTAACAAAGAGCAAGCAATGGCTTTCAGTATCATATCTCGTCATCTCTTTCAACAACTACACGGACAAAACCCTCCTCAGCTACTAATGGTAATACATGGTCAAGGTGGAATGGGAAAAACGCGCCTGTTGAAAGCTATCACCTCCCTCTTCGATGAAATGGGCTGTAAAGACCGTTTCACTAAAACGGCTCTATCAGGTGTTGCAGCTAGTCAAATCGGTGGTCAGACACTTCATTCGTGGGCAACGATTCCAGCAGGAAAAGGCCTACCCCACACGGACAAATGGATATTTCGTCCCGGAACAGAGACTGCCAAGCGCCGCAATGCCAATATGCAGGGCAAATTTCTCCTTGCTGCAGACGAAATTAGTCTCATGACCACTGAATTCCTATGGCTTCTATCACAAGTAGTGACAGCATTTCGGGCAAACAAAGGTAAATCAATGGAAGTCTACAAAATTTTTGACTCAATGGTTAAATCCTTGCTCAAAGGAATTCCTCCAATTCTGTTAAATTCCCCATTCACCAGACTCAGCATCATTCTGATCGGTGACTTCCACCAATTTCCTCCAGTAGCAGGTCAAAATTGTGCATTATATTCTCAACATCCCCAAACATCTAAATGCCAGCTCGGAAGGAACATTTACCTTCAATTTGACACCGTCATTGAACTACACCAGCAGATTCACATTACGGACTCTGTGTGGCACGATATTCTTCAGAGAGCAAGAACAGGAGATTGTACCTCCTACAACCTAGTGGAAATCCAATGGCTCGTTCTCACCAATAACGAATGTATTGTGCCAGATTTTGAGTCATCACCCTGGAATGATGCAGTTTTGATTACACCTCGAAACAGTGTACAAACTCGGTGGAACGCGCTGACCTGCACCAAACCAGTTCGGTGCATGGATGACTAATGCTCTCCCACGAGCCTGATACCCTAGAAATCATTATGAACAATCTTCCTTTACTTTATGGTTCAGACTGCAGTTCAGATAGTATTTTCATTTCTCAGACAGACTCAGATAGGCTGAATATTCTTGTATATTTAATTTTGCGGTAAAATTCTGCTTAGTCAGCAATAACAATGACTCAGACTGAATCCCACACATGTCAAGTAACAGTGTAAAATAGTTCTTGCATAAGTTGCCTTGTGGGAACTTTCTTAACACTCTAAATACACGGCTCGCGTCATTTCTACGGTCAATAAAGCAACATCATAACAAGACACCAACAAATAACATAATCAGTCTGTTACTTAATATTTGTCACATGATACTAAGTTATATGACTCTAACAGTCAGGTGACCTATGACCCTAAACCAAATCATGACAAAGCAACCTTTTGAGATGACTAAAGCTTGATGACACAAATTATAAAGCACATGACTACAGTAAATAGTATTGGTACAATCTGACTAAGCCTATTCCCCTTAGAACGTGGGAAATAGTAACACAGCCACCATAATTTATCTATATAAGACCCCACTTTTTGCCAATAAAAGGAGGCATATAGGGAACTTTTAAGCCCCACAAAATAAATTTGAGTGTGAAGTGTGATCAGTATCAACAACAGTGACAAGAGCTGTTAAGCAACTAACTGAGAGGTCATTGTAAGCAACATCCAGCAATACCTTTAGCTCATCGTCAACAACTGTGAAATATCTTGAGCTCACTGTGCTCAACAGTGAGCAAACTTTTTCTTTGATTTTCTACTGGTGAACCTCTAGTCTCTTTCTTTTTTTTCTTTTTTTTCTTTCTTCTTTCTCTCTTTCTTTTTCTGTTTCTTTGTTTGTTTGTTTCTTTTCATTTGTCTCTTTTTCTGTTCAGTTCGTTCACGTCTCAGTGTTATTGTCTGAATTTGTTTCAAGATCTTTGTGTTGTCTTTACGTTCATCTAAGCACCGGCTTAGTGGGAAGACTTCAGAAGTTGATAGTGACGCTTGACCTCACTCATCTGAGTAGTGATACTGAGCCAGGGTTTTCTTTGTCTGCTAGACTTTAGTTGTTGAATAGGGGACTTGGTACTGAAATCCAAGGATGTCCGTTCCTGATTCTGTTTAATACTCATCGTGAGTTCCTTGGCAGCAGGTTCAATAGTGAACTAAGAGTTCTACTGATCACTGATTAGTCCTGACCTTTGATTCTACCTGTTTGTGCTGAGGGGGTGATTGCTATAATTTCGCACGACTTTCTGTAGTAAATTTATTACAAGAAGCATTGTTACTGAAGGAAGGGTTTCCCTTATCAATCTATTTCTTTTTTTTATCAGTACCATACTGTTGGACTGACTTTTCTCTGTTCTCTAAACACTGCCATACCGTTGGAGTGAATCAATTTCTTTTTGTCATCACCATACCGTTGGGCTGACTACATTCTGTTTATTTTATTTTCTATTGCGTCCATACTGTTGGATTGACTGGTATTGCTACTGACCTCACAGGAAGTACTTTTGTCTGAACATAGCTTGGGGAAGTGTAAACAGCCACCCACAAACAACCACGTTATCAGTCATTGGTATTTGTCTGAATCACTGACCATGGAGATTTTTGATTTTGTAGGTGTTTATCTATAGATCATCTATCTAAGAAGACACCGTATGACCACTTTTTGCATTTCAGTTGAACCTCGTACAACTTCCAGAAGATCAGCTTGTCAATGTTTTGCAGAATAGGAAAAGCTATTGGGACCACCTTCAGTGATTATGTCCTTGATGGTAAGGTGTTCCGCGAACTCCATGATTTCTTCAATGGTCAGAGAGTGTGTGATTGTATCTGCATGTGCGGCACTGGATGAGGTGTCGTTTTCCTCGACAAGAGAACTGTTCACTGGAAAAATGTTAGACTATCTCTTACAGTGATCTCGCGCATGATTCTCACCACTTGCTTTTGCCGCTATCTTTGATACTCGCGACGAAGGACCAGGAATGGTCATATTTACTATCTCTTTGATGATCAATTTGCTCTTCATATTTGCCTTCACTTTGTGTTCCTGTACTTCAGTGAGCAAATGAACCTGAATAAGTAATCCGAATCATACTTTCGCGACCTTTTGCAACTGTGCGCGGCTGAGCTGGCGAAGGGTAGCTTCATCGGTGTCGGTTGACAATGGACAAGACATTTTGTCATTGGATGTATCTCACATTGGCTGATTGAGCACAGTGTAGGATTTAATGTATTGTGTTCCTCACTTCAAGTACATGCACTGGAGTCGATTGGTCAACTGAGATCGATTGGTCAAGCCGAGATCTTGGATAGAGATCAATAGAGACAAATAACTAAATATGACATACTCGATATTCTGGTCGTTGATGGTCTGGATATTGATGCTCAAAACCAATCTTTGACGTCCAATGCTATTCATCATGATAAAGGTCAAAGAGATGTTGACACTTACCTTTCTTATTCCTATCGAATCTCGCACAGGTACATGGCCTTGCAAACGTGCGAACCTCAATAGTCACATGGTAATAGCTGGATGGATTTAGTAGTGTCAACAAAATTATAAATGATTTAAAATGCTGTAGGCGTTACGCTGTAATGAGAACTCATGTCACCATCATCGCAAACTATCAACAATGCACCGCAATTCATTGCGGTGTCAAATGGTCGCGATGATCACGTGAATGTGTTGTGTTGTTTGTGACCACAGGTCAGCTACATTTGAAAATATGGTCATACAAAGGGGTCATGCGCCACAGGCTCGCAGGAGAGTTGCAAAGGGGTCGCTCTGTCGGATTCCGGAGATCTCGTGAAGGGGTGTGAAGGGGTAATTCTAGAGTCAATGGCCTGAAGGTATGTACTCTGCCTCCCTATTGCTCTCGCATCCAACTGACTCAATATCCAAACATCATCGGTACTATAGCGCTAGGCAATGACAGGGGTACTGGCCACCCGCACGGGTCGCAGGTATGGGTACCTCGTGGGTAGGGGTGGGGGTATGACCTTTGGACACCCATACCCATACCCGTACCCTTATAGTGGGTAGTCACTCGTGTCATAACTCATCATGCTTGCGGTCTCTATTGTAAATTGGTGAGTATTATTTTATCTATATACGTCGTATGGACTTTGCTGAGTGGACATCTCATTTCTCTTCTCTTTGGTAGCATAAATGTCCACGTCCAAAGTCCATGCATGCTAGTCATGGAGAAGGACGACGCGGGTGGTGCGTCATCTTTGGCTTCTGCATTGTTCACGCTGTCCTCGGCTGCAGCACCACCGCATTCTTCTTCTTCTGCGACACCGGTCCTGAGTCATGGAGGTGGTGAGTCCTGGTTGCAACTCCTTTGTGGAGGAAGGACGATGAAGGCAAGACCATTTGCAATGTGTAAGTTCTCATTTGTTGTTCCTTCTATATTCATACCAATCTCTTATATACATACAGATGCGGCCTCTACTATAAGCTTCATGGCTCTGCTTGTCCCATTAGTATGAAATCTGATATTATTCGGAAGCGCTCTCGACACGACACTCGTGCGCAGCGCTCCTCCCTCATCGAGCCCCCAAGCACATCTAACACGCCTGGCACTCCTTCCGTTATGGAGGAGACAGTTTTAGAATGGGTTCTGGTGCGACAAGCACAGGTACTTCTTCGTCTTCACGGCGCAACCTTCACATTCATTGGAGAGTCTCAGGCTTTCAAGACAGTCAAATTTAATGTATGTACTACTACTTCTCTGTTTGAATTATACATGAGTTTATTGACAGCAGACCCCGCTTCCTGTGCCTCTCTGATGCCGACTCTGTCGTTATGTGATTGTGCATCTGCCGTTCACGGTTGCACAGTCATTACGGATACTACTGTCCCGCTGATGCGCCAGAGAGTCATGTACGTGTTTCCATCAATTTAATGTTTCCTGTCAATTTAACTCTTACTCATGACTCCGGCGCCATCATTCTCGGACTCGTCACTGGCATACAACTCCTCTACTTCTTGCCCTTCAATCTCCGCTTTGGCGCATTCCAAGGCAGCAGTGTGCATGGCCTTCACTATTTTTTGGTACATTTGAAGTTGCTGACATGCTTGTACACATTACGGATCATGACTGGCTGAAAGCCCGAGTGGTTTGCCAGTTGTTTGACCCGCTTGTCAAAGCCGAACTGCGTAAACTGTGCAATATCCACAGGGTGGATCTGAGGGTCCAGTTGGACTCTGACGGCGTCAGCGTCTGCACCACTGAATACCTCAATGCTTTTCTCTTTATCTTCATCTTTGATCACAACAGTAGCTTTCCCCCCAGCCTGAGCCTGAGTAGACGCAGAGGAAGGGACATGGTGCAAGTGCGGGGCCATTGTTGAACTACTAGTAGAACTGTTTAGTAGTCTTGAGCTAATAAATTCAATTTGTTTCATCCCACCAATCACTGGAAGCGAGAAAATTTTCAACAGGACGGTGACTTGACTTCGTAAATAGTCGGGTAGAGTTAATTGCTAGACACTAGCGTGGTGGAAAAAGAGAGAGACTCGACCCCTAATTGCCACAAAACCGTACATACACTAGTACATAATCTCATTGCCCTCCTGCGACCTTCTACTACTAGCCCTCCTAGACAAGAGAAACACGTCAACTACTAGCCCTCCTAGTATGTCTGTGTACGAACCGGCTGTGGTGCGCAAACTTCTGTCAGCGCTGGAGCCGAAGAACTCGCAGAAAAAGTTTGAAGCAAGCTGGAACAGCGCAGTAAGCAGGCAGAAGGATGCTAGTACTATGTGAAAACAAAGAGGAACTGACCTGAGCATCACCACAGGTCAAAAAATGTGTCGAGTCATGGACTGGACATGCGACTGCACGCATGACAAATCCACAACCACGACACCAGTATGAATGGGAGGCGGAGGTAGTCGAGTATATCAACTATATATCAGACAAGACATGCACTCGGTCAACAAAGGCACTTACACGACCATGCCTAGACAGCAAGGTTCCTATCCTCGGCCCTCGTTTTCTGCCGCCATCTTACCTACATGCCCGGAAGTGAAATCAATCCGAGCCAGCCATCAACCCTGAGATCTTATACCTGAAAGCACTTTGTGCCATCCATCCGTTCTACTATCCCGAACTTGCGAAGTGTCCGCGATGCAATGGTACCGACAACGTTCAGTGGGATGGATGGACCGGCACAGGTCCTTGCGATGTCCATGGTTTGATGGTTGACGAGGCTGCAATAGGTACGCAGCTTCGTTGTGAGAACTGCAAAAACGATGCGACAAGAAAGGAACATGAGCATGAGCATAGTGACTTGGACAATGGATGCAGTGTCAAGACTGACCTCAAAGGATATTGCTTCGCAACAACTAACCCTGACTTTTGGAGCAGCTGGCCCCACTGGTCCATTCCTGGTGGGCTCCTTAGTTCAGTCTGATTGCCAAGTTCTTATGCTAGGCTGGGGCAGGCGACATACCAGTGTTCTTCCACAGATGTGCGGTTACCTGGGACTTGTTCAATCTACTAGTCGAAATGCGCCCATCATCCACAGCAGGATCTCTTGCTGAAAACATCCAATGTAAGTAGTGCTAGTCCGTCTCTCAAATGCTAGTGATCTGACGCACCTTAAAGAACTGCATCTTCTCGAGTACCACAGGCATAAGCTCAGCTATCTTCAAGCTTGGAAATCCCATTGAACGATGCTGACATGGAATGGACTTTTTCAGTCCCAACCCACTTCGGCTATTCTCAGATCCATATGACATAAACAACTACAATGACAGACCTATCTCAAACGATGTGGTCAGTGAGGTCTTCCAGGACTTTGTCTCAGCGACGCAGGAAAGTGAGTCAGAAGAATACCTTCGCACACTCTCAGGTGAGAACATTTCTACTACACTCGTTGGTTTTAAAAACTGACCTTAAAATCTTATGCACAGGTGTGAGCATCTCATTTGACAACACCTTCCGCGCTGCGACGAAAGCAACTGTAATGAGCCAAGAGAAGAAGAAGTTGAGGGTCCTGAAGGGCGGGATAATCAGTTTGATGAATGAGAATGGGGAGATTGTTGGCTGGGTGAGTCAATTTGAGTGCATCTGAGCATGTGCAACTGACTCAATAGTATTACTAGTGATTCTGTCATGGCCAGTCAAACGCTGAGATAAGCGAACTCCTTCAAGGCCTCAAGACACACTGTGGTGCACTCGATGTCCCTCCACCAGAAATATTTGTTGCCGACAATTGCTGCCATGTGCACAGCGCAGTCACTGTCGTTTTCCCTGGCGCTACCATCAAACTGGACGTGTGGCATTTTATTATGAGGTGAGTGCTACTAGTACATTGTTCTCTGAGCTAATCCAACCCTCACAACAAGATACGCGACTGTAATCCTCAATCCTTCAAAGAACCCTCACTGGAAGGAAGTCGTTGCGGAGGTCTCTGCATGCATACTGAAGAAGCACGCTGAAGGAGGGAGCCCGGCAGAGTATTGGGACCGACACGAGCAAGAGACAAGACTCACCTCCGTATTTGAGAAATGGTCACATGAAGGTACGGTATGGTCAGCGGGGGCACACAAGGTAAGTCCTTGTAACATACGAAGCCTGTTTCAAAACACTGACCACATTACTTAGGTTCACAAAGAGCAGCTTAAGCATGTGCATAAAGGGTGCCTCGAGCGTCCACGGCAAGACATCCGGATGGACGGAAGTCATGTGGAGGGCTCCCACAAAGGTTGGAACTCGCTTCAGCGAGTGCACACCAGTGGGATTGTGACCTTCACAGCGCTCTGCCACGACTTCGTCCTCCGCCACAACATTCGCGTCGCCTTCTCAAGGGCAACAAAGTCAGACTTCCTCTCATCCACCACGGCTCGCACCATGTACACCTCAGTGGACGGAATCGCAAAGCTCTTCAACCATCTCCGACTCGAGGAGAAGACCATTAGTGCATGCTGCCTACCAGAGCTCCAAGACGTGCCGTCAAACGAGCACTTTGGGCTCAGTCGAATTGAGCTTCGCCTCCACATTTGGCAGGTTACTCAATGTCAAGGCCGAAGACTCACCAGTCGATCTCAACATGTTCAGGAAACAAGCTGCTCGAGGTGCTCGGCGATGACAGTGACACAGTGGACCTTGTCCTGCAGTCAACAAGGGCCGAAATCCTTGAAGAAATCGACATCGACCCACAGCTCCTCTCTATGCCGGAGGCACAGGCTGGGCCCTTGCTGGCACACCCTCATGCCACCCCAGTTTCCAGTATCGGAACGGATGCTCAGCCTCAAGCAATGAGGAAGCGCAAGGCAGATGATGACACCATTGTCATCTCCAACAGTGAAACTAACGAGCTGCCGCCCCGCAAAATTATGCGGCATTTGACTGCCACACCTACAGAAGTTGCTGCTCCAGATGTCCAAGTCATTCCATCTTCGAGTCAGGTAAGTTCCTCACCTCCAAATCCTCTTATTCTTTACTGACACGCATCACAGGCATCACAGGGGATTCCACCAGCCACCTTCAACTTGGACCACTACCTCAAGCCCAGGAGCAGATTGCCATACTCAAAAGCTCTCTCACGGCCACTGATGGCCACCAGCGCCGGCACTCCCAGCCAACCTCAACCTGAGGACACCGCAAACATTTTCATGCCCATCCTGAGGCCTCCTGGGATGACACAGTCTCAACATTTCTTCACAATCGCAACAAGGATTGATGCCCGTGCCATGCAAATCTCTGGCGACGTCAAGTTTCATTTGTTCATGGACTTGAGGGCCAAGTGCACATGGATTTCTTTCAAGATGACGCCCAGACAGTGGGCTGTAGCTACGGAGACCTACAACTGCCGTCTCGAGGAGAAGAACTGCGCTATTGGGCTCGAAACAGTGAAGAAGAACCCCCAGGCCCTTCTCCGAAAGCTTGGCGAGATCAAGGTGGCTGTGATGAACCAGTGTAGCAAAGAACGACTTCAAGTGTGAGTTCAGCTGCTCGCTGGCATCTCATTTCACGCACTAACTACTACAATACAGCTCGCTCAGGTTCGGAAACGTTCTGGAGAAGGCACTGTCACGTCATTGAGCTCGTCAAGGCCGAGCCTGGCAAGAAGGTGCGCAATTATTTCTCAAAATTTTCGTATTCATTCACTTACACTCTCTATCTACAGCTTCGCAAGGCACACACTGTGCTCATGCTGCAAGACCATCATGTACCCCGGTCCTGAGAACTCGGGGTACAACCACAGACTGCAGCTTTTGCGCTGACAGGCGCCAAACAGGTGTCCAAGAACGAGCCGCCTCCACCCTGGCCACAGCCGCCTGGCATTTTTTCCGAAGGCAAGCACTTCCATCCGCACGCCTTCCTCGAAACCGTCAAGCAAATCTACGAGCAAGTCTTCCTCTGGCCATCTGGTGAAAGCCCTGCCCTCGAGCAGGAGGCATTTGCAATGATGCTGCTCGATCGGTCCACGACACTCGAAGAAGGCATGGTGCTCTTCAAGCTATACGAGGAGCTCGAGATCGACGAGTCGACGCCAGATGCCCTGCTGACTGTGCACAACAGCATCAAGCATCTTCAGCGTCGAGTACCTCCAGGAGCACTGGGACTCGTAGTATTTTTTACATCTTTCAATTCAAATGCGCTCTCACTTTGGTTCCTTAGTTACTCACTGTTTCCTTTCCCCCTCGCTAGTAATTATTCAGGTAGATTTTGTACATTACACTATCTCCTCGCTATCTAGCCTCTTCTCCCTTTGCTTTTATGCTCCTCCTTCCCCCATTACCACAGCGCCAGCATGCTACTGTCCCCCCTTCTACCTTTTTAACCATACGTCACGTGACTATTTAGAATGGTCTTGAGATTGGTCCTGCACGTGCACGACCATTTTGGTGTCACATGACACCAAAATGGTCCACCCCTTCGTATGAGGAAGTTGCCCTACATTTATATGACCTTGCTCCGCAAGGTAACCTACACCGTCAACGTTTCAACCTCCAGTAAAATGACATCTCTCATTCCAAGTACTATACCCGTTCAAGAATTTGAAGGTCACCATGGATCTGTATCTAGTGTTGGAGTTCTTCCCGATAGACGAAGGATGGTGACGGGCTCGGAAGATAAGATTCTTCGCCTGTGGGACATAAAAAGAGGTGCTATATTGAAGAAAATGGAACGGCATAGCGTCGTTGTGTTGGTATTGGTGGTATCACGAGATGGGAAATTGATAGCAAGTGGCGGCAAGAACGGAGAGCTGATTGCCTGGGATGGAGACACTGGCGAACCTCTGACTGACTCAGTCATCAAAGGCCACACCGATTGGATCCCATCGCTGGACTTTTCCCCAGATGACAAGATGTTAGCCAGCGGTTCACACGACAAGACAGTGAGGCTGTGGAATACAAAAACGTGGCAGCAAGAAAAATTGTTGGAATGTGGGGATCCTGTCTGCTGCGTTCGGTATTCGCCGTCTGGTGAACATATTGGCATCGCGACAGAAGGTGATATCTACATATGGAACCAAAACACGAGCGAATGGGTCGCGGTCTTGAAGTTGGAGACAGACGGAATATTCGAGAACTTTTCATTCGCATGGATACCTGATGGTACACGTATTCTCTCATTGAGCCAAATTGGGGAGGATTGTACCATATGGGAGTGGGATTCATTAACCTGGCAGCAGGTCGGTGATCCCTGGGAAGACCATTCCCGCGGCATCAGGGCCATTGCCTTGAACTCTAATGGCACACTCATTGCCTTTGCATCTGAGGATAACTATGTCCGCCTCTGGCGGCTCTCTGATCGACAAAACATCGCCGTATTCAAGCACTCCAATGAGGTGCACTGCGTCACCTTCTCCACAGATGGCAGGCACATTCTCAGTGGAGGTGCGGACAACAAGATATTGAAGTGGCAGATACCCGAGGATGCTTTGCCGCAGAATGGTCCCAACAAAGAAGTGATACATCAGGTACGTCCTTTTTCATCTCGACGTCTCTTCATCATCTAATTTCACGTCCGTTTGATTTCAAGGCATGTATCCACCTTTGGCTCTCTTACAGTTAATGCAAACATACTTTACGTAGATCCTCGATATAAATGCAGAAGTCCATTATGCATGCATAGCTGGAGACCTGCGTACTGCAAAAGAGCTGCTAACCAAAGAGATTGATGCTGATGCCGACAACTACAACTCCTATGCCAATCGCTCAATCGTCATGGCGCGACAACTAGATTGGGATCATGCACTCAATGATGCAATCAAGGTAAGATACGCTGGCCCATGATGCCTCTTAATGCAGGCTAATTTGGATCGTATCATAGTCCGTCAGTATTGAGCCCTCCTTCATAGGCCATGTCTCCGAGGGCCTTGCCCTTTGCGGGAAACAGCAGGTTTGGGACGCCACGAAAGCATTCGACCTCGCGTTCACATTCACCAACACCGATTTAAAGGCGAATTATTTCCTCTTCTTGATCAAGGCATGTGTTTTTATTTATTCTGACACTATGCTTCATTACGGTTTTTCAAGATTATTGCGTTGTTCAATGCAAATAAAGATGAGGAGGTGGTGCTTCCTGTCCAAAAGCTAGCTGCCCGTCCTAATGTTGACCCTCTCGCTTGTCATGTTGTAGAAGTGAGTATCATACATTCAATCAAGCTCGGCTTTGTATACTCACTACATTTTCTGCGCTTCGCACATCAGGCATATTTGCGAGGCCAACTAGGAAAAATTGCCATGGAGAGCGCCCTTTACGGGGAAGCCGCTCGCCATTTCACTGCCGCTGTTAATGCTAGCGTTTCCTTTGCCAAGTTAGACATTCACTCTATGTACGAAGACTTTGTCGTGGTGCGTTGATATGACGCGACCGACAATCTTTTTCATGCTCAACTGTATGTTTGTGAAGATTTTCGGCTGGGACCTCAAGTCCTTGTGGCAGACCGTAAACCAGCAACGCTGCCATGCACTTCTCCTGGACGATCAAGCTGGAGCCGCTTTCGAAGCATACCGATACGTGATGGACATGAGTGATGAACCCACGAAGGCCATCTTCCTTGATTGGATCCCTGGCAAGTCGTCAGAAACACTACCTGTGCTACGATGCTCACCCGAAATTCCTTCAGCTCTCAATGGGAGGCGAAGCGTGCTCTATGCCGCCTAGGAATTTGTACTTTGAGCTGTTTTCATTCATACCTTGACGTCACCTACTTGTATACACAATTTGCCCTTTGTGCTCGTATAGTCTGTTGGCTTACAGATCAAAATTTTCTTCTCGCGCTACCGAGCAGCTTTCATGCTCGTGCTTGGCATACGTGACTCCACCTCTTTGTTCACAGTCGAGATAACGTGCAGACCCGCTATAGCTTGTGCGCTGATTGCCCCAATATAGTGATTCATAATGTCACCCGTGCCCACGATGTTCACTCGTAAATATTTCATCAACTCTTGATGAATTTGAATGAAGCGCACCCGCTATCGACAGATATGACGCTACCGCTCTTAGGCATTATGATGCATATTGCAACATGGAGGTCTATTTGTCATGTATGCATTGCCTTTGTACACCTAAGTATCCCCATTGTACTCGTATCGCGGTAGCTCATCTGTAACACAAAAGCAGACCACGGATTTGACAATGGCTACAAATTCAGATCCAAGTCGCCACCACAGAATGAATTGCATTTGCACCCGAATGTGCGACCAATGTGTTTCCAGTGGAGAGCAAAGCGCTACCGGCTCTGCTATGGGAATCTCTGGTGAACCCTGAACCCCGTGAACTGGCCGTGGTTGCAAAGTGTCTCTATTGGCCAGAAGAGAGACGCCAGAGAGAGCCTCAGATCCCCGACGAAGTCTGCAAGCTTGCAAAAAAAAGATCAAAAGGCGCTGGGCCACTGGCACGTTGATCAAGAGACGATCTGGCTCGGCAAACTTGAAGGAACACCCACGGGCGCAGATCAACAGATAAGTTCGAAGACGCCAACAAGATGGTGACTCATGTCTGCGGTAGTGCCCGTGGCCCCACACTCACCTGACTCACCTATCAGATGCGTATTAAAGTGGCTTAAGTGGTGGACGCAACCGCTAGCCGTATATAGTGACAGTCACGTCTGAATGGCGATAGAAGTCGCAAGAGTGAAGAACCTTAGATGGAGATGTTCAGTCGAATCACTTTAGTATAGGACAAAATAACTTCAATTGGCTTACTTGTTGTTTAAGAATTATAAATATCACTATCACATGTGGGTCCTGCCTCGGAACGTGCCACTAGTGGAGATTGAAAGACTGTTATTGTGCATTTGAGCTGGCAAGGGCTTGAACGTTCGTATTAATTTGGTGTCTCGACGGTTGAAGCTAAGGACTGAGTCTGTTGGATAGCTTTGTTGTTGATGCATGGTGTCCAGGAAAGTTCGTCAATTCATCAGCGGCAACACGAAGGCGCTTATAATCACAGCTTTATATGTATTGAGAATTCTGATGGGGTTGATGCTGTGAAGCAGTATAAAGACGCTCGGTGGCCGCACCTTCAGGACTTAGATCGAGACCGCTCCAATCTCTCCAGCAAGTCAATCTTGACCGTGCTCACTACCACCAGCCTCCAGCAAAATGAATTGGTTCAGTCCGAGCACTACACCCATTCGAGCATTTGAATATCACTATCAAGCAGTACTCGCAGTCGCAGTGCTCCCTGATAGACAGCGTATGGTCACTGCCTCGTCGGACTCCTGGCTTCGTATGTGGGACTTGAGGTCAGGTACATTGTTGAAGATGATGGCGGGGCATAAGAGTGAGGTGTGGGCATTAGCGGTATCGCGAGACGGGCAATTGATAGCAAGCGGTGATGAGAAGGGAGAGGTCATCGCTTGGCAGGGAGCAACTGGAGAATTTCTCATCCAAGCTATCAAAAGCCAGTTCGGGATCATATCCATGGACTTTTCTCCCAGTGGCACAGTGCTAGCCACCGTTTCAATGGACCAAAAGGCGAAGTTGTGGGATACGAAAACCTGGCAGTTAGTACAAGGAAGACCGATCACGTGTTATGATCGTGTCTTCTGCGTTCGCTACTCGCCTTCTGGCGAACATCTTGCTATTGCGACAGCCAGCATCATAGAAATTTATCATCCAGGGACGAGGCACCGTGTTGCAAAATTTAGCAGTCACGGCTCATACAACTGTTCGCTCACCTGGACACCCGATGGGACAGCCCTTCTTTCATCAGGCAATTATGAGGATCCTACCATACGAGAGTGGGATGCATCCACCTGGGAGCAGGTCGGTGATGCCTGGGTGGGACACAATAATGATGTTAATTCAATTGCGATTCATCCTGCTGGAACGCTCGTCGCTTCTGCATCTGATGACAAGCAAGTCCGTCTCTGGCGCCTTTCAGATGGACACACTATCTCCATATTCCAGCATTCTGACCGGGTATGCTGTGTCACTTTCTCCGTGGATGGCGAACATATACTCAGCGGAGGTGACGATGAGAAGATATCAGAGTGGTTAGTACCCAAGAACGCTTTGTCCAAGGATGCTCCCAAGTCAAAGGTATTTTCCCATTGTTATCCCGCCCGGGCCGTCCTGGTTTATCATCTCGTCTTGCCTTCTTTTTTTATTTCAAGGCTCAAAGCGTCGATTTAAAGGTATGTTTTCACATTAATTCTGATAACTAGATTTGAGCATACCTTAGATTCTCAC